TTCTTCTCTCCGGCTTTGAGTTGGATTACAAGATCCCAGCGCTTTGTCAGCCACTCTTTTCCAGGGAACTTGTATGGGGCAATGCCATACTAAAAAGGTTGAACAATTATTATACTATTCCATTGAACCTCTCATTTTCCTTTTTCTGACTTCAGCATCTGTCTTGCTCAAATTTATGCTGGATTGCAATTGAGAGTTTATTAACAGCTCTTTGATAACAAATGTCTCCATATTTTTCAATTTCAAACATCTCAGCTGCCTTTTTCCCAAGTCATTAAAATCATATTAATATAGTCATCACAATTTAGCTTTTTGCCAATTTTTTTAATGCACTCTTGCATTGCTTTACCCATTTGAGCTCAGGTTTCATAGTATTTATGTCTTTTGGTAAACAGTTTTTTGTTTCAATAACTGTGTAGCCTTTTTCTATATCTCCGTGAAGTCTAGCAAAAACTTTTCTTATTCTAGGTTTATATCAAGACTGTTAGAGGGCAGTCCATAATGGTTGAAACATATTTTTAAAGGAATTCTTTGACAATGTTGCTTGTATGTCTAGAATTATTTTGTTGGAGCTGTTACTTCTTACTGAGCACCTCATTAGCTTCAGAAATGTGTTTTCTTATGATATCAACATGAATTGGTCAGCCATGTTCACACAAATCGGAAGAGACTGAGACTTTTAATTTTATTGCTGATTGTCCAAAAACTTTTGTAAAGCGATTTTGTCAGTGAATCAAAATTCCGTACGGAAAACAGTCTAAGGGATAAGAATAATGTGCCTGCGGCTACCCCAACGCTTACCGATAATCATAAAGAAGACGAATTGAACGGGCTTATGATCACCTTAATGATAACTGGCAGAAACCCCTTTTTACAGATGAAACTGCATTTCAGTTATTTTGGAATACCATAACGCAATGGTACACGTATAAAGACTCCCGACCAGTCCGTCCTATCCCAAAAAATTTTCGCTTGGTATTGGGTTGGATTTTGCGCAAAGGGCAAAGTAAACCTTTAAAGACGTAGTGGTAGTAGTAGGGCCAATTTACGTTGAAATTTTTCAGAAGCACTTACCCACACGACAATGCTCGGAAAAGTCTGGCGCTTCCAACAAGACAACGATCCGAAGCATACGAGCTCTGTCGCTAAACAATTTCTTCAGGGTATTTTGGGAAATTATCAACCAAGAAATGGATGCACCCAGGCAGAGAATAAGTTCTTTTCCCTATTGTCGGTGCCTCTTTAGTGATACATTAATGACGAGTCCAATATACCCATAGTTATTGACTGGCCATCAAAGAGTCCTAATATCAATCCAGTAGAAAATCCACGGCGCATAGTTAAAACTAGTGTAGAAAGGCAAAGACCAAAAAATATTCCGGATTCAATTGTAAAAAATTTGGTAAACTCGATGAAAAGACGTGAGGCGATTATGGTGACCGAATTCCTTTTTAATAAAATCAGTGCATTTATAGTTTAAATGAGGTATTTTGAGTCCCAAATTCACTTGCTCATTGTAAATTTACTGAGGGTCATAGCTGTGTTCTGAACAGCATAACTATCTTAGCTTTATAATTCAAAAGTTCTTTTATTGTTCATCCCATTGGTTCAATAAATATGTATGCAATGATATAAAATATTTCATATGCTTCAAACGTTCCTTCACATAACTCGTATTATATATTTGCATAAAATTCGCCCCGTCATCGTCCCGATTACCACGAAAGTATGTATCCACTTGATTCTGCCCATCTATGACTATAACACAAGTGACAACATCTTTTTCTTGCACAATACATCACTCCATACTCAAATTCAATTCTTGCTTGTAATGTCCACATATACTCCCAATCTCTAATTATACTCTTTACAGCTTGCCAGAACGTATCACTACTCTTGGTTATAGTAGTTGCAGGTCCTAAATAGAAAAACTTGAATATTTCCACATGCCTTATCGTTATATTTTTAGATAGCCAATTGTAGAAATGTTCATCCAATGACAGGCTACCAAGTACAATATAAGATCTGTCTGGATTTTGATGAGAAATATGAAGTATTTTCAAATTCGGACATCTCTCAACAACAAGAGGTAGCAATGGACCAAATGGAGGTACTTGATCGACCAATTGCAAACTGGTGATGTCTGGAACAAGTATGTCTATACACGAAATAAATGGATCAATAGCCAGATATATTGTTCTGAACAGAAATCGTTCTATACGATGCTCCGAATATAGATTCAAACGTATTCTCAAAGTGTAGTCGCGCAAATCAGGATGAGAGAAGTTCTCGAGGAATACTTGTCGCCACCATGAGCACACTTGTAACAGATGGAAGCGAGATAGCCCATCAGCGAATATCCATACAAGTATTAGCAATTCAACCGGCAGACACTGAGCTATCGATACGTGGCGATGATCAATGTTTTGAGCAAGTTGGGTCGGATGAATGAGTGACTGGGTTGATTGAGTGGCCGACTCGATGAATTGATTCAGTTCAGTAGACAACTACTTTAAAGGAGACAGTAGAGGAAAGGGAAACAGGATGAATAAGAGTAGAGGTTGAACATGAATATGGAGATAACGAATTATGTTACGGCGGCGTTATCTATCACTTCTCCACCATTCCATTCTTGCTCTACTTTGATTTACCGCTGAATTTTGTCTCTCCGAATCATCAAATTCTCTTTCTCGACGTGGAAGCAACCGACTGCAGATACGAGAGGTTGTTCTCATTATAAAGCAGAAGATAGCAATCAACAAACAAGAAGATAAAGTTGGCAAAGCATGCTAAACAGCAATTATAAGTTAATGGTATAGCATGTGATTGTGCGAATGCCACAAGCACGTGTTTTTAATGTAAGACATAAGTCCACAGCCTTTTGCTCTCGAAGTTTTTGTTCGTGCTTCCCGTCAATTATGGGTCTCGAAACACTTACAGATTCGTCTGCACGAATACGAGCCAACGAATTAATAACTCAGAAAGATTCGATAGAAAATGAAATTAAAGAACAAGAACAGATACTCAAGGGGGTAATATTGAGATTGACCAGAAAATGATCATTTCTCGTCGGCACATACGTTGGCGACTTTCATATCTATCCATACGAGGTCGACCAATTATTTTCAACACGTCTGTCTTGACACCTTACTCTTTTTCGCAATCTTCCATAGCAAGGTGTAGGAATGTCAGAACCCTTAGTTGACCGATCTGGCTTTCCACGCGATGACATAGACCTCGTTGTTGTGCGTACGGCTAGAGCGCGCATAATAGCATTGCGTAATGATCATAAAGATGTAATGAACGAGATTGAAAAGATGTTACATATCATACATGCGGAAGCCAAAGCAAAGACAGTAGTAAAGGAAGAGGAGAAGGAACATAGTATGTACCGGGATTTGAGAAATGAATGTTTTAATGAAGAAAGAGAGGGTGTGGCTTACATTGTATTTGCATGTGTAGATCGAGTAACTGCTTTCGCTCTTGTCAACGCAGTTGCACCTGATTCACCAGCGAGTGAGGCGGTGAGCTTCAATGTTAATCAAGGCCTAGTAAAGTCACATAAATTTATTCTGACAGTTATTCTTGTCGTAGGGTCTGCAGAGAAACGACAAAATCGTAAGATTTGGACATTTGCATGCTGATAATCATCGGGCATTACAAGCAGTGAATTTGCTAGTCTCCGAAAGCGAAAACGTGAGCTGATTTTAGTTAATCCATATTAGTACTCATATACAGTATGTTTGAAGGTATACGCATTCGCCATATTCCTAACAACCATTTGACTTATTGTGACTTATTATAGAAATCTATTGATGTTACGATCGAGCGAGGAGATGAAGGACAACGACTGGTATTAAAATTAACTCCAAGACGAGGTTGGGGGGGACGAGGATTGCTAGGGTCAGTGAGAAACGTCGAAAATCGACATGTTATACTTGCGTATTTAATTAGAAGTTCAACATATACATGATGAATCTTTGGCTAACGTCATTCTCATTCCACAGATGCCATATACTTCCAACCAAAGGAGCAAAATAAAAGTTTATATATGTATCTGGCGTTGTTTGGTTACTCAACAATAATATCAACTGGTTTACCATCAAAAATACATGTTCATCAAATTTATGTAAAAAGAAAACCCCGATAATACGTAAAGAAAAGAAAACGAAATTAAGTACAAAGAATAAATACGCGTTAATTCATGGTTTGTTAATGACTCAACCAGTTGTGGTTGAATGAAAATACATTTAGCCATTGTCCACTTTTACAAGGGTAGGAGGGTTTAACTTAAAAGGAGAATGCCGAATACAGAATAAAGTTCAAATGGTTAATCAACCAAGAAGATAACAATGATCAAATGTCCACTGTCAATTCGAGATTAAACGACTCGGGCCACATCTAATTTTACTCTCACTCAATTTCTCATTGTATCCAATGTACGCTATTGTTCACCATTGACTAACATGTACAATTGGCAGCACTCGATTGAGGCTTTGCCTGCGATAGATTTACGCCATTCTGGATTGTAGAAGTCTTTCGCGGTAGTAGATCGGGAGTATCCAGAATCTACAAAAAATATAAAATAAATGATAAAGATTTGTATACAGATAAACCCGCTCTCGTTATATCCATCCGTCTTACTTTTTGTACGAGCTGCTCAAACACTTCTTCAACTCCAACACGTGTTTTAGCACTGCATTCAGTGAACAAGGCGTTTGTTTTGTGTGCATACGCTTCACCTTCCTTTCTGGAAATAACACGTATATGCTCCTATAAACACGAATAAGATTAATACGCTAGGTATACCCCGACGATGCACGAAACAGACGTCTATGATTAATAATATTTACTTGGTCGACTTTGTTGCCAACAATTATCTTGATTATATCTGTTCTAGGACAATATGTACTCAGTTCAACAAGCCAGTTGTTCAATTGTTCGAAAGTCTCTCGATTGCTTACATCATAAACTGAAAAGAGTGATGGTGATGAGTACTGAATAATTTCATACTTGGTCAATATCTCTTCGTTATACCTAGAATGACCCCTTGTGCACCTCGATAATATGTTGATGTAAGTGTCCTGAATCTCTCTTGTCCCGCCGTGTCCTATTAGCACGTAATAACTGGGACTGTGAATATATATAATTACTGAGTATCGCAGATGCAACTGATGCACTTACCCAAATCGTTAATTTGTATTTCTTATTATTGAGTGATATTATTTTCACTTTAAAGTCGACTCCTAAAGAATCGATAGAAGAAAGCGCACAATGTCAGTAGTACAATTGGTACAAGTGAACTGCATGTCGATATCTATATGACTGCGCATGTGAATAAGTACATATCAAAGGATGGTTATAAATCGCTGGGAAAATAAGACTTTGGAACAGTATGTTATTATAGCTACCTACTCATAATACACTTGTTTGATCTATATGTGTTATAGCATTCTTTCTATTCTTCTCAAATAGTTCTTCCTTGTACAACTTTCTCATACATCATTTTTGCCTACCTATAGTAGCAGACACTTCGTCAGACAGGAATTGATCTTCAGTGAACCTCAGCAATAAAGAAGATTTGCCGACATTCGAGTTACCGACAAGAAGGATCTTCAATGTTGCTTCTGTATCGTCTATTGGTCGTCTGGGCGTCAGAGACATAATTTATGGGTTGAAAAATAATGCTAGCTAGGGTGCAATGAAGGATATGAACGTGTCAAACTACAAAAACTCTATGAGATCGCTGTGGGTTATATATTGTGAAATGTGCAGACAATCAAAGGTGTGAATTCTGTTGCGTTTACTATATCGTATCCATGTCGTCATGGTGATCAATCGCGACACTGATTGGTTACATTTTTGCCGAAAAGAAAGCGGCTCAAAATCATTTTGCCAACAAATTTTGGCAGAATCCTATTCGCTATTCCACGGATGATAATAGTAAGACATCAAAGAAACTTTCTTAGTTGGACAGTTAAAATTAGTAAAAAGCAGGCCTCGTCATTTCGCTCAGTCAACTGCCGATAATTCGACCTTCTTTAATTCGATTTATACGTTAATTCGACCACTGGTTACAGACCATTTTTTGACATTTATTATTATTTCTATTGTAATTAACTGACGATAATTCGACTTGTACGTTAATTCGATCGATAACCTGGGTCGGACTATACGCTGGGACATCCTGTAACCCCTCCCCATTGGCAGCTATCTTTTTTCGATTGTTAAGCCCAATTTATCTCAGAAACTTCCTTTGTCTCTATCTGTGAAATAGTGATTAACTTACTTTAATTGTGGTTTAAGAGTTTCTACCTTACTGACTAGCATAAACCTGGTACCAGTTGGATGAGGCAGATGAATTACATGCTTTTTAGAGAGTATGGGAATCTCGAGATTGATGACCTACAAAAGGCAAGGGACAAAAAAGTAAATGAACATTGTTACGACAGGGCTTGTTGAGCCGAACTTGGCGTTTTTCGTCCAGAGAGGGTATGATAGTGTTACCCCTAAGCACATTGTCAACTTTATCACATGGTCGCGCGAAACAGTGAAAAAAATATCAAATTACTTACTCTCTTGGGTTCCTCCGTGTAGTCTGGATCTGATGAATGATCAGATTCATGTTTAGTAGCATTTCATCAGGTACTAGGTTTATTTTATGATAATATGTTAATGGATGAATATCAAAGTTTAGATATTCTAGCCTGAGAAGTTCTGGCTTTTTCTAGATTGGTAAGGACATGGTTCTTAAATCTTTTAAGCTGAGGGAGGAAGATAGAATTGTCATTAGGAACTAAATTAGTTCCCATTTTTTTAACGACATTAAGTAACGAATTGTCACTATTATCGATCTCCATGTCAGCACTGAACTTTCAGTATAACACCCCGTGTTTACGGAGGAGTAGTCCTAAGGGAGGGGGGGAATTGGAGATTTAAGCCAGTTCAGTTTGTACGCATACAAATTTTCATCGATTATATTGTGAACAATAACCAGGAAGAATGTTACCAGTGACAACAAATGATTTGAAACTGCTTGTAAAACTCATCGAATATCCTATCATCAGTCATTATTACTAACCTCACCGTTCGATATTTCCATCAAACTCTCAACCTTTACTCCCAGCACAAGGCAAGATTAACGTGTCTTATACCCACCCGGTTAGGGTTAGGGAACACGCACTTTAGCAAAATTGTCATAAAATGACAACAGAAAGAGCAAGACGAAGTTGATGATCGTACTCATCGATCAAGACGATACACCTGCGTCGATTTCTTTCATGCAAGAAAAGTCATAAATCAGTTTCAATGTAACTTATTCTTTAAGCCTTAACTGGATTTACCTTTTTGGTTGTTGCTAAATGAGCTTCCTTGGTCTTTTCAGCCATGTTCTCCATCATATACTGTGTGTCTTACTACTTATGATTGACATGGCACACAAGTATACTATTTAGTAAAAGCTCAAGAGCTATTCAGTCAAAAATATACTTACTGTCTTATTACGAACCTCGATATTTGGAAGTCTTCCACATTGCTTGTTGGTAGACCAAAACGGACACTTCCAAACTCTTCTGGTGCCCGTAGGCTTCCTTCTGAAAGGATTACTTTGCTTCTAACGGTGTTTATTATTAATATAATAATCGATAGATCGATATCTTTATTACATATTACATATTACAATTACCATCGCCATCATTATTAAATAATCGCATACTACTTATTTCTAGCAAAGGACATTATACTTGAGATGGTTTGCAAAAGAAAGATGAACTATGGTTCGAATAACACAACTACTGCGGATATATCAAAAACGGAACCTCACGTGGGTCACGCTCAATTATGATTAAGCAATCACGGGACTAACACTTTTTTGTAAATTTCTCCTGGCACGCGTCGAACTGATACAAATATGTCTGACCTGCTATTTTGAAAAGTGTATCATGGTGTTTAGAAAGTTTTTTACAATGGAATATGTTCTATGCTCCCGATTTTAGTGACAAATCTAGTGGCATCGTGTTTACAAGACATACGTGGACGCTATTTGGAAAGATCCGAGCTTAATAGAGTCCCGCAGTAATGAGACAGTTCGAAAATTGGCGCAAGAGGCTTTAAGGTTTGACAATACAACTCTGCTATATTATATGTTAATCGCAAAGAAAGCGTCTAGCCTAAGAGGTGCTAGAGATACGTCTGACAACTCACTGGATACGTAATTAGAACTCTCTTTGTGCATAATACTAATTTAGCCCAGAAGTGCTAGAGATACGGTACGTCTGACAACTCACTGGATACGTCTAGTGAGCGCACCTTAGGATACATCTGAATGGGCTTTTTCCTCTGTTTCGTTCAATTAGGAAGAAACAAATTCAGTCCAGGTTGACGAGAAACTTTGAAGAAGGCAGTAAACATTAATGCTAATGAAATGGTTGCTCGAGTAGCAGAACTACATGATAATTTCAGTAGTAAAATCTTTAGCGCCACTCAAAATTAATTGCAATCTGGCTTGATAATCAAATTAGGTTTTTATATTTACTCTTTTTGGATTATAAATAATAAATATTGGGTAATACTGTTAGAGCATATTTTCCTGAGGAAGAGTTACAAGGGTCACTACCAAAAAAGACAAAGCCTGATAATGATACTGACGATACAAATAATGACGGTTTCGTTGATGCAGAACCAAAGAAATTAGTCACCTCACACAGGTATTTGTGAATTATGGTTACAAGATATATAACAATAGTGCTTACTTGTGGATACTTTTTAGGATGAGATAAACATTCGTGAAAAATTGCTTGTGATTTTATCTGCCCAGCAAAAACAAGACGTTAAATCCGAGAATTATCAATACATCTCAATGGCATATTAGACTTATCTGATGCTAAGACGCACAGGAAAATTTGAATTAATTGGCTTGATGGTATCCTCCAGAAAAAAGAAATGGGACCCAACAGATGAATTTATGCAGTACATTAATCAGTTTGATGAAACTGTATGTAACAGAAACAATATTCCAAAAAATTATTTATTCATGGGAGATTCGATTCATGTTGTCATGAGGCACATGACATTGCGCAACATATTTTAACCCATTTGTGAGTATATATTAATATATATACTTGGCGTTTATCAGATTCTTGCGTCGTTATTTATTTCCTATACAGTTCAACCCGTTTAGAAGCACCAATAAGTTATGAAACTGACTACTGTAATTATGAGTAAACTTGCCCAATTGATACTACAATGTATATTTTGAATAGACTATTTCGTATGCACAAATGTATTGGATATTGGATGGTAAGTGTTAACAGTTAATTCGAAGTATTGATTATATTAATTTGCTAATATTTTATTCTATATCAATATAGGATTGAATTGTCAACTCAGAATACAAAAAAAAAACATACAAAATTGATGGCATATTTAAAGTGATTAAGACAAGAAGGAAGCATCAAGCGATAATGCTTATTGGATTCTCTAAAGGACCCAGAGCATTACCAAAGAAAATTTGGGAAGATCAAATTAAATTGTGTAGAAATTCCATGCGAATTTTAAATGACATCCTAAAATATTAATGTGCCAAAGAACAAAGCACGAATATATCTTGTGCAATCGGCCAGTAAGTACTGTATGATAAAAAATGCTTTGTTGACACGTGATACACTTATATTAAGTCTCTTTCTAGATGGTAATATGCATATCAAATATCTTGTTCGTCCGCTTCCGTCAATTTATCTTCTCAACTTATTTGCAAGTATAAAAATGCCTACCACTTTTAACGATTTTCAAGATTTTTCAATGGACATGGTCGAGTTAATGAATTTGCAGGTATGGATATCAACGAATGTTCGTAAAAAATAATAATAATCACCAAACTCTTGTAAAGCTTTCTGCTTTCTGTTCAAAGATAAAAATTTTGAATAACGAAGTCACTTAGTAACTCGTTATTTATTTGCCCTTACTATTCTAGACCGACGTTTTGTCGACGACCCACATGATTATTAGAGCTTACGAAAACGATGATATTTACAAGGTCGACCTGACTTTTATACAGGATACACCGTATAAGAGCCCATGTCCATCACCATAAGGATCTGATTTATTTGCGTGAATTACTCACGTGCATTGTTAGTAATGGATGTTGCATAATTTTAGCAGGGAGTAACACATTAATAAAAAGGTATAATAATGATATTTGATAAATATTTTCCATAATTATAATCCGCACAACCCACCCCGTCAGCTAAGCTTGCTAAGCTTAGAGCTATGCCAAAGGGGTTTGGTCAAAAATTGAAAGACCCCAAAGTATGCAATCATGCGCGAAAGCGAGTCCAGAATAGGATTTAGCAAAGAACAGAGACATATGCTCTCATCCCTGTGCAAGTTTCGGGAAAACTTGCTCATTATATGAGGACAAATTTAACCAGACATAATAAATAAATTGACATATAATCTAGCAGAAAGCATTACTTCGAAAGAGGTTGCGCAAACTGGATGCTAACAATAAAGGCTACACACGCCTGATATTAAGTGCATGTAAGGCACAATCCAATCTCATTAGTCAAATTAGTTATTATTATCTCTTTCACCTCTCATTTATGTCACATAATAAAATGTTCACTTTGTCTGGTTTTGTTGCAGCATGCCCCATATAATGAACTTGATAAACTGTAAAATTTTCTCATGCTTTTAACAAAATAACTCCACAAGTTGAAAACCTTGATTATTTAAGATTTGCTCTCTTTAAATCAAATAATTCGCCAAGTTTTACTGCTATTAATGAATAAACGTCTGACCAGTTACATGTTACAGAAAAGAATATGTAAATCTTGAAAATTCAGTTAAATTTAATGATACACTAACAGTAGAGGACATTGTTCAAATGATTCAAGGAGATAATAATAAGCTGTCTGAAAATAAGTCGTTTGAAAACTCACCTCTAAATATTCCCCTTCAGAAAGGCTCTTTGTGCATTACACAAACTTATAATCATAATTTATTCTGATTAATAATTGCTTCACAATTTAAAGAATAAACCCACTTCAGTACTATACAAAGGTCATGGTTTCCATAAGAATTTTGAATACAGCAAATTGTCAAGGTCTGAACTCCGCATTTCTAATTGGAAAGAAGCATAAGATACAATCAAATGTTTACTTTACTTTGTCTGGTTTGTTGCAGTCTTAAGTCTGTCCCATATTTTGGATGTGTATATATCTTACGATTTTGCTGGCCGGCTGGCCAATTCTGTTCGCGACAAGCACAACTCGAATTCTCTACGTTTGGGGGTTGCTTATAGCGATAGAAATAGCTGTATCCCTGTAATTTAATCACGTGACCATATATGGGTGTGCACCGTGAAAGTCCCAGGCGATAGATGCCAAGGGTGATTGAAACGTATTACAGTTACATTCGTATTACATTCAACTTTGACCAACACCTGTCTCCCTGATTCTTATTCATTCAACCCGTCTGTGTCATACTTAAGTAGTGAATGTGTAATAAACAATAAATGTGTAAACAATTGCTAAACTGTAAAACGGGCGATCGGCAAATACGATCAAATGAGTGTGTGGTCAATTAACATAGTAAACGGATGTATCGTACGGGCGGTAACGAGAAAAGTGTAGCGTTGCAAGTCTAGTATCAATCTTTGAAACACAATATCCGGTTCCCTCATTGTCTGGTGAGTTTGTCAATATGCATGAAGCTGCATTCTGTGGCTTATACAGTCAGGTCGGGACTCTGGTTATGATGGATAATTATTTGATAATAATGGTCACTAACAAGATGATTGTGTTATCCATAAATCTCTTTTTGGTCAGTTTGTGATGCTCAGACTTTGGTTGATTATTAATCATTATCTAATCGGAATTGGCTAATATCAATAGTATCCTGTAAATGTCCCCGTCGAAATTTTGTAGTTCTGTATCACTACTTCTATTAAATGTTTTAAAATTTGCTGTGAATTACAAAGGCAGGGTTTCTCGTTGAGCAAAATTAATATTAATGGAATTCTCAACCCTTGTCCTCTCCCCCGCAGTTTGTTCTCCGGAGACCACAAAGATCTGCTCTGCACCGATCGTTTCCAAAACAGTATGCTGTATGTCAGATCATTTATTCTTTCTTCATGACTGCATGACTCCAGCATCGGAAAATTTCCATTGACATGTAATGGTAATGATAATAATAGCATGGTAATAATAGTAATAGTATCGCTTACTTTACCGGAATGAGATGGATTTCACTTGAAAACAGCGGGTTGAAGATCCGTCAGGGTAACGTAAGAGTTTCAATGGTAGCGCTGTAACTTTTTTGTTAGAGGTCAAGTTTTGATATAGCAGGTTTCAATAGTGTTACGGTTTTCGACAGACGATTATTTCATCATCTTCCGATGATGTCGATAAAAGAGTGACTACCACACCACAAAAGTTTTGCACTTATTTTTCACCTGCAATTATACCAATTAGATTCAGACCTCTCCTACAACTATGGGTATCAAGGTTATTATTATATTGGTTCACACGCTATGCAATCTCTTAAATTGAATTGCTAAGATGTCCGCACGCATAACAAAGGCTTCTTTGGACCAGGAAGATGCTCAATTTTTGAGCTTTCACCTGTCAAACTACAAGAGTAATGTTACACACATCTTATCCTTTACCCCTTTTTCCCTAGCTGTGTGCAAGATCCAATCTCCCGTTCCAAACCACCTTTTTTTCAAATCATTGTCGATCTAACGACGATGTAGTTGTAATCACACAATAATAAGGCTTTCATTGCCAAAATATTTATCTATCAGCTACTATAGTATTTAGTTGGATTGACCAATAAATAATAATGATGGCAATGATAGTGATAATGATAATAAATGGACCATTGTAGCCAACTGCATCTTGGATATATAATGTAGCTGTACGACCTACATCATAATGCAAAGCGTCTAAGCCAATTCTGGTCCTCCGAATCTCTGTGTGGCGTTATGATAGTGTGCACCCACTCCCCCCAATATGTTGGGAGCATAAAGAGAGCAAAGAGAGCTAAAGTGATATACTTCGCAGATGCCAAAAAGAAAAGGCCTGGGATAGAATGTAGGCATAGAATGTTAGGAATCGGGAGATGTGTCAATAATGGGATAACATGTTAGTAACTTGTTATTTACGTCTATCGATATTAATCAAGTAGGTATTTGTTTTATGTGTGACAAACATTACATATACGTAAGCATTTTATTGGGGGATGTTGAGAAATCCACCGCATATAATGTCTCACCTATTCGCCGTAATGTAGCCCTAATCTATTTACGTCTCCTGACATATATTTTCTCTCTTCTTCAATCTCCTTAACCACTATCGATCAAATTTAAAGTTCAAGGTTTGCCATTCCGCCTGCAATGCAAAAAGTACAATGAAGTCGACAATGTAGATGAAAAGTGGCGAAAAGTGGAGATGAAGGAAGAAAAAAAAAAAAAAGAAAAAAAAAAGAGAATGTGTTCAATAAGAACGGATATACAAGAGAAATGGCAGTTTTACCCACGCTGAATAATGAGACCATTGTTAACAATAACAACAATAATATACTTTCGTCTGATGCTTAATATTAATCAGTTATTGTTAATAAATATATTAAATATACAGCGCTAGTCATTCAGTTGCACTGTGTTTTGTCAACATAACTTACTTTTTGACAGCAATCAATCACACAGTCACCGACAACAAACATTTCATCGCACATCATTGTTGCTGATAGTGAATGTCTGCTTCCGCCACATTGCATGTTGAGACAATCCCCTCGAGAAACAAACCCTTTATCACTTTACTCTCCCCTGTCAATTGAAAAAACCCCTTCCTGTATTTCACTATCCCTAATATCACATCTTGTCTTGTCTGTATTTTACACATATCGTCATGGTACAGCCTACCAAACCGGTCTGATATTTTCGAGATGTATCACATCACAACAGGGTCGGGCCACTTTGCGCATCGATCACATTGATAATAGAATCTTGTTGAATTAACATATGATAGCATATCGATTGTATCACTCTTATTTTATATCTTTTATTATTATGTAGACAAGTTACCCCCCCTTTTCCCTACGAGCATCAAGGACCCTTCCATTCGTTATTCCCCACACCCCCAACCAGCAGCTAATCTAAAAAAAAGATTTAAATATGCTCGAATGCCCAACTTGCTTTTTTAATTGGAATAGACAATAACTGAACATTCTAGATTAAATAATTAAACAGATAAACACGCCTGTTAGCTTGATACCAAATAATCTACACTATTTTATTATTCTCCCACTCTGAATTATTTGCTTGCTCGTGCTTAGTTGCCTTATCACCTCACACAGACTATTTTACTCCTCGTTCGCGAATATTCATTTACATATTTATACATCCTCTCAGACTCTCCCCCTCGAACTCTATCTTGTCACTCGCATATTTTTCTCATACTCACCCCCCCATGGGTCTCTTTCGAAAAATAAAGTCAACTTTCTGTTGCTATAGTTCTAAATACCTACTCGACGACGACGACGATGATGCCACAGTCGTCGACGAAGAAAACGAGCGACAAACACTTCTTCATACAGAGGAAGAAGTATCAGAAAAGCCGTTGTTGAGTGACTCTGATGCAGCAGCACTTGCACCATACTTGACTAGCCAAGCTGTAGTCGTAAAAAGTGTATTGAGGCGACGACGAAGCACACAGAATACTACCGCAGGAGATACACCTCAGAGGCGATACAACGTATTGTTGTTTGGAGACAGTTTGACTGCTGGTGAGTTCTTGAAGGAGACTCGGATGTGGGTGTGGGTATGGGTGGGTAGGTGTATATGTGTGCGCGTATGTGTTATATGTGTGCGCGTATGTGTTATATGTGTAGCTCTTTGCCAGCAGTAATCAAAGTATTTTAATCTCGCTAAACAAATCTATATGCTTACATAATAATCTAATCAACAACTACCTCATGTTCCATTGCCTTCCTTAGGATGGTGTGGAGAAGATGGATATAGCGAATATCATCCATATGGATTACGAATACAAAAACGTTTCGAAGAAGAAGGATTAGACGTAGAGGTAAATT